TGAAAGAGTGTCCAAAAAATATATTCACATTTTCAGTCTTTTGGATTGTTTTACTGAAGGTGAGTTGTGTACAGCTGATATTAAAGAGTATTTATTTGTGTCTGTGTCTTGAGTGTCAGAAGTATTCTGTTTTCCAATAGAGGCAGTCTTACGTAATTCAGTCAGTCTAAGAGCTTAGTCTTAGAATTTGGACAGGATCCTCTGCCTTCTTAATGAGTCTGTAATTTGGAGAAATAACTTTTTTTCTTTATTCACTAACCTGTTGAGTTTTAATGTTAAAATATTACTGTTATATGTTCATGCTTTAATATTTATATTGGAACTTTGGGGCTTTTTTGGGTGGGAATAACTTAATGCATATTCCATGGAATAAATAAATGAATTAATGAACATTGTTTTTTAACTCCTTCTGAAGGTGAGGGTGGTGAGATCATCTCCACCAAGTTCTCAGTTCAAAGCCACATTTCAGGAGTCTTACCAGGTCTATAAACGCTACCAGATGGTTGTTCACAAGGACCCACCTGATAAACCAACTGTGAGCCAGGTCAGCAGGCCAAGTGTAATTTTTCTGTACAAACTCAACTTTCCCCTCTGTTTGATATCACTGTGTGAATTCTTGGTTTATTTGTGGTACATTTAATTTATATTCAATTTGCAGTGTATCTGCAAAGAGATAGGACCATGGAATATTGGACATTCTGAAAGTGCAGATTTTACCTCAGGCCATGTTAAGAACCTTTCATGTATAATTTCAGAATGGAAAGTAAAATGAAGTGTCTCTATTTAAAGTCACTATGTTTAGATGCATTTATTTAAGAGTTAGTGAAAAGGCGATCTCTAAGTGAAAATATTTATGAGAAAAAAGTAAAAAAGAACCCACTGTATTTATGGTGGGCATACTTTGCACAGCACAGTTAATATGCTTCATCTCCATTTAAAAGTCATGTGTAGAAAAAGTTGATAACAAATAAATTACTCTTCGTTGATGTGCTGCCCATACACAACTGAGTGGGACTAGAAAAGTAAAGATAGTAGAATGTTTTAATTGAAGTCCTCATATACTTATAATTTTACAAATCAAATTACCCGAGAAAAATCTGGAAGGGGAAAAAGTTTAAAGCCCTTAATATAAGTAGAGGTGACACAGGTAGTGGCAATTAACATGAGCAGCAGTATTGACTCTGCTGTATGCAGAGAACCACAGCAGGTAGAGAAAAAGAACAAAAAGAAATTGTCCCGGCCCTTGTGAGTTTAAATGTTTCATGAATATTGGTGCACAGTTCGTGCTTCAGGCTCTGTGCTAGTCGACCTGTCCCAAGGTTTATTCGTTTTATAAAAATTCCAGCGCTGAGCTTTGGAAGTGGATTTGCGGAGATCTTACTCTAGCCTCACCTTCAGAAGCATATCATCAGGTAGAGGTGTTTCAGTAGCGTTTGCTTGTATCTTCCTTGCTCTGAAGGTGAGGCTAGTACCTGTCTCCTTTGAGGACCCCGAGTTCAAGTCGTCCTTCAGCCAGTCATTTTCTTTATATGTCAAGTATCAAATGGCCATACACCAGGACCCGCCTGATGAATGTGGGAAGACCGAGGTACCTTTTGCTAAATGTTTTTTTCCTATGTTGATGAGGTTGTCTATGAAGAAGCATAATGTCAATATATAACCTTCTTATTCCATTTTCTTATCTGTTAAGTAGAGTTGATGATCCTTACATTGTGTTCTACTGAACTTTTGTGAAAACAGGTTATACATGTGATCATTTTAAATCCCTCAGAAAAAAGGATATGTTCTTACTCAGTGTTCTCTACGGGAACCTGAGTGTATTGTGTTTACACATCAGTCATTGGGCTAAGACAGCAGATGTCACAGAGTGCTATTTCTGTGCCAGACTGTGCCACAGCACACAGGGAGGAGTCTCTGTCTTCAAGGAATTGATGATCAAACGGGAAAGACGGACCAATAAACAAATATATCTTAACAAGAAGCATGTGGGAAAAAGCTGAATGTGTTGAGGTTACACAGAGCATCATTTAACATGCATTTATTGAGGGCCTGTATTTTCCAGCTGGAGATATTTAGATGAATAAGAGATTGCATACTTTCCACAGTTGGACAGTGATGTTTTGGAAGAAAGATGCCAACAGATGCAGAAGGATTGAAGTTTTGATTTTTTGGTTTTTTTTTTTTAATGACATAGGATGTGTTAGCTTAAAAGAGATGATTAATAAGGCAGGAGTTAATGCTGCATGTTCCCTGGAGAATGCTGACTGCTGCGTCTCGCAGAGCCTCTCTCGGTAAAGTGTGGTCTGCAGACCAACAGCATCAGCGTCACCAGGAATGCAGACTCTCATGTCTCCCCTCAGACCTCCTGAATCACGGTCTGCGTTTTGAACTAGGTCTCCAGGTGATTCATGTGCACATTCCGATTTGAGAAGTGCTTCATTAAGTTCCCCGTTGAGACCTATGGCTGTGGGTGGTAGCATTTACAGATAAGGATTCTGCAAGGTGCAAGAAGTTCCCTTTGATATTCCCAAGAGGTCTTAATTCCTTTCTGAGCGTTATTCTTTCCTACTACGCTTGAGATTCTGGCTTTGTGCCTGCCTGCTTACCAGGTATGGATAGTTGGGCCAAAACACCCTGACATGTTTGATGTGTTCCCGGGAACCCCCTCACCCGCTTTTGGGCTTCAGGCCTCTGATGGAGTCCATTCTTGCAGACCTAGTTCAGTGCGAAAGTTCATAGTCGTAATTGGGGAGACAGATGGGTAAGCAGTTCCAGTGCTGTTGGATTAGTAAGGAAAGCCACCTTAGTGTGGGACTGGAGGTTAGGGAGGTTTTTCTGAAGGAAGTGACATCGGAGCCAAGTCTGAAAAGATGAGTGCCGCTTAACATCTGGACAGGCTCTAGGGCAGTGTTCTGTATTTAGGCGTAAGGTATGACTGAGGCTTTTTTAAAAAGGCTTAAATTTACATTCACTGTCATCAGTAGTACTGAACTCTGGGTACATGATTTGACCTTGTGTTTAAATAGAAATACATAATGGATTTCTTTATTGTAGCCAAATAGTTTTGCTTTAGTGATTCATTTTATAGTATCACATGCTTACAGCAAATTCATACAGGTGGGAAAGTTTGTATAAACTATCATAAACTTTCCCACCAGTATGAATTTGCTGTGTTTAGTACTTTGATTTCATACAAGTGAGTATATTTGGCTTTGATAAATTATTTTACTTCATTCATAGCATTTTATTTACCTGACATCTAACTGAATTCATATGGAGTTTTCAGAGACATTTGAAATGATGTTGTTTTTCACATGGGCGAATTTGGTATCTCACTGAATGTAGTTTCTAAGAAATAACATGAAATAACATTTTGTAAGTCAAGACTCTGTACTGTGCTTTTTTCTTTATAATAGCCTTATTGAGGTGTAATTCACATACCATTATAAGTCACCCATTTAAAGTATATGATTCAGGGGTTTTTAGTATATTCACAGAGTCGTGCAACCATCCTCACTAGCGCCAGAGTATTTTCATCATCCCCAGAAGAAGCCCCATTCCCACAGTGGTCGCTCCTCGTTTATTCCCCAGACACCCCAGCTCCAGGCAACCATATTCCACTTTCTGTCTCTGGATTTCCTTAATCTACAATCAGTATTGTACAGTTCATATAAATGAAATTGTACAATTCTGGTCTCTTGTTGACTGGCTTCTTTCTCTTAGCATAATGTTTTCAAGGTTCATCCATGTTGTAGCATGTGTCCGTGCTTCATTCCATTTTATGGCTCAATTAATATTTCATTGTATGGCTATACCAAATTTTGTTTCTCTTTTCATCCATTGATGGACTTTTGGGTTGTTTTCATTTTGGGGCTTTTATAGAAAGTTTTGCTATGGACATTTGTGGACAGGTATTTGTGTGGACATATGTTTTCATTTCTCTGGGGTGTATACCTAGGAGTGGAATTGCTAGGTCATAGGGTAACTCTTATGTTTACCTTTTGAGGAAGTGCCAGACTGTTTTTCAAAGTGCGACACCTTTTTAAATTCCCACCAGAAGTATGCAAGGGTTCCACTTTCTCCACATGCTCAGCCACACTCGTTTATTCCTTTATTTATTTTTTTTTAATTTTAGCCATCCTACTTGGTGTGAAGTGGTTATCTCATTGAGGTTTTTTTTTGTTCTGCTCTGCGAGGCTTGTGGGATTTTGGTTCCCCGACCAGGGATTGAACCTGGGCCACAGCAGTGAAAGCGCCTAACCCCTGGACCACCAGGGAGTTCCCTCATTGAGGTTTTGATTTGCAGTTCCCTGATGGCTAATGATGTTGAGCATCTTTTCATGTGTTTTTTGGCAATTTGTATATTTTTTTTGAAGAAATGTCTGTTCACATTTTTTGCCCATTTATAATTTTTTTGCCCATTTTTTAAGGGACTAGATACAAGTCCCTTATCACATATGTGATTAGAAATACTTTTTTCGTTCTGTGGATTACCTATATCTCTAGTAGGATTTTTTTGTTTTGCAGTCTGTTTTGTCTGATATTGGTGTAGCCATTCCGTCTTCTTCTGGTTCCTGTTTGCATGATACTTCTATACCATCCTTTTATCTTCAGTCTCTTTGTGTCTTTGAGTTTCAAGTGTGTCTTTTTTAGACACCATATATTTGGGTCTTTTTTTTTTTTTTTTTTGATTCGGAGGGAGAACAGTCTCTCCCACTTAGTTGAAGTGTTTAATCCGTCCATATTTAATGTTGTTATTGATAGAGTTGGATTCTGTCTTCATTTCACTTTTTTTCTATGTTTCATGTCTTTGTTCTTTTATTTCTTTACTGCTTCCGTTTGCATGAAATGAGTATTTTCTAGGGGTGACATTTCAGTTCCTTTAATGATTTTTTCACTATATATTTTTGAGGTGTAGTAGCTGCTCTAGGGCTTAGCATATACATGTTGACTCACAGGAGTGACTACAGATTTATACTAACTTGATTCCAGTGAGGTATAAAAATGTTACTCCTGCTGAGCTCTAGTCCCTCTTCCCCCTTTTTGTGCTATTGATAACATAGATGTTATAAGCTCAATATATGTTATAATTATTACCTCATATGATTTTATGTCTTTTATAAAGCTGAGAAGAGGAATAGGAGCAAGTGTTTGTTTATAATTTGTTAAAATTAGCCTGACTTTCCATTTCTGGTTCTGTTCATTTGTTCCTGTGGATCTGAGTTACTGTCTAATATAATTTTCTTACTGTAGTTCAGCTTTGTTCCCATCCACCTTCCTTATGATGCTATTGTCAATTATCTTACTTTTCTATATGTTATAGTACCAACAGTACAATTATACACATATTGTTTTGTACAATTGCTTTTAAAATCAGTTCAGAGAAGAAAGAATACACACCTGTGTTTGAGAAGCCTCTGACGTCACGCCCTGGGGCCTCGGCCGTGGACGTTGCACAGTCTCCCTGGGATGACAGTGGTCTTCCTAGTGTTCTGTTTGTCTCTTACCCTGATGCCTCTGTTAAGGTGTTTTAGCTCTGTTGGTTTCACATGCAGCTCTTAGGCTCCACTAATTGCTGACTGTTTGCTGTATTGTTTTCAGCAGTGCCCCAGGGCATAAATTGCTCCATAGTTTGATTTATTAAATTTAGTCCCCTTTGCAGCAGCAGTTTTTGAGGCCCATCTTTGAGGTTCGTTCTGACCCCAGGAGGGCTCTTCTTCACTGTCTCTTTTCCTGTTTCTCTCTGGTAGACCAGCTGGCCTATGGTTTAGCTTGTGGCCCTCCTGGAACTACTAGCCTCCTCTTAGATGCTTCCACCAAAATCTCCATTGTTTTCAAGACTTCCCCTGGGCTTGAACTTCCCTCTGTCCCAGATGCAGTCCAGATTGCTGAGGAGCTCTCTGTTCTGTGGCCTGCCCTCTTGAGTCCCTTTGTGCCACTGCTCTGGAGCTGCGGGCAGGGACGGTGGCTCATTTCCCTTGGAGTGACACCTCTGCTTTATGAGCAGCGCACTGGTCAGGAGCTAGGCCCTACTTCTGGTCTTCTCTGGGTAGATGATTAATTTTTGGACTCATTAACAGGGAATTTTAAGACCTGTGAACTGCCCTAGTGATGGTTCTGTGTAGGGAGACGGTCACTACTGTAGATGAGTCCGTCACCTGCCGTGTTTTCATCCTAGGAAATTCTTTCTTCACGTGGCAGACTCTTGATCGCAGGTAGAGAGTAAGTACTCTGTCTGTGGGGCTGGCTGCCTAGACGAACTGATTTGGACATGCTGCTTTGCTTCTCAGGCTCGAAGTGAGGCGTTTTATAGTGAAGGGACCTAATTCTTGTCATGGAGTACAAATAGTAGTTTTCCCTTGTACCTGGCTATGGTTTCTACCTGAGGAACCAGCCAGTGTTCCTGTGCTCAGAGGCAGAAAGAGAAGCCAAAAAAGTCCTCCTCTGAAAAGTTCAAATGATGTCCCGACCTGCTTTACGGGCTCCATGCAGCAGCTCACTGTATTGTGGTTTTGTCAATATAATGGGCCAAACTAATTTAATTATGTTCAAGAAAATCCGTTTTTGCTTTTGTTGTTGTAAACCATT